CTCTTTGGGGCAAACTTGGTAAATTCCTCATAAAATGATGTTCTTAAACTCTGACCCTCATTTTGGGATCAGCTTGTCCTGGCCAATATTTACTCAAGAAAAATAAAGTAGCTAAGAGAGCTTATAGCCATGTATTTTCCTGTCATGAAGTTACAAGCATGAACTTTGCTTCACTCTCTCCATAAAAACTGGATGTCTGTTTCTTTAGCTGTTGTCATCTATGGTCATCTGATGGAAACAATGTAGACTTCCCATGTGTAGCCATCAAGCACCACTACTACTTGAGGTTCAAACAATTGGTGGCTTTGGCTTTGATTTTAATTTAGAAAATATTTCTTCTTGGGAAACAAAATGCCAAGTTGTTAATGAAGTGCTTTAAATAGATTTCCAAATACACGCAGCCAATACCAAGCAAAGTTCAACTCACTCATTCTAAGTCTTAAAATGTGGTCTGTTTTCTTTTCATGTAAAAAGAGCTAAACTCTTTAGATAATTAAGGCCATAAATTATGTATTTTTTCAGACCATTGCCTTATATTCAATCTTGGTCAGAGTTGCATTGATGAAAATTTATCTAGATCTTGCTTGCAAAATAAACAATAATGGTTAAAAATCATCTCATTAGCATCCCATTGCACTAAATATATTACACATTTAAAAAAAAACTGATTTCCTTTTGATGGCCTTGATGTGTTTTCTAGTTAAGTAGCAAATTATATAATTTTCAATATCAGTGTCCAAAGCCATCTGTCTTTAGAAGCTATCACTCCCAAACCATTTAGCCACAACAGCAAAACTTGCTATAACTCTAGAATGCCTGTGCTTTTTACAACACAGCAGAGGTTTTCCATCAGCCCCTCCAGGGTGGCCAAGTATTTGAGCCCCCCTTCCCCAAACACAGTCACAGATGAGCCTGACAACTTGGAAAGGCCTATACCAGATCTACCATGAGATTATGCATTTGCTGACAGTTATCACTAAAACTGGAGATAAAGTCCACCACATTACATTGTGCAAGGGAGCAACCAGAGGAAGATAGAAGAATAAGTTTCCTACTGCATTGCTACAGAGAACCATGCAAGGGTTGGGTTCTAAGATCTAATTGTGGGCTTTTTAGAACTAAATCCTGGGTCTCCCCAGCTTTATACCATTGCTGGCCTTAGAAATGTCATATTCAGGGTATAGCTGGGGGTGTAGCTCTATGGCAAAATACTTGCATGTTGAGGTTCTTGGGCTTGAGCCCCAGCCCTACAAATATATAAAAAATTCATAAATAATAATTACAATAATTAATAATTATATAGTTATAATATATAAAGAATAATTTATATATTCATATATGCATATATATTCATTCATTCCACATGTTGTAATAATATTAAATTTATAGTAGTCTTATTAAGAAAAGTACAAAGAAACAAGAAAAATGACTTTTAACAATCTATTTTATTTACCCCAATATATGCTGAATATTTTCATTTCAATATTTAATCAATATAAAAATTACTGAGTTACACATATTTATATATTTACATGTATTTAACAAAGTCTTTGAAATTTGAGGTCTATTTCACACTCATCGTGCCTCTCAGTTTGGACTAACCATGTTTCAGGTGCTCCAAGGCTCTACTGGATAGTGCAGAACTATATTGGGTACTTGTTTTGTTTTAAATTGCAGAGGAGCATTTGAAGTAGTCACGTGTACTGTTAATCAGAAACTGTTGGCAGGTGTTTCAATACAATGATTTTCCTTCCACTCTTGACTACTGGTGACGTCATTTTCATGTGCCTGCTACAGTTTGGTAGAGGGTCAAGACAGATGACTCAGAAGCTTGTCTGTAAGAGACTCAGGCTATGTACACAGCCAAGGGACTTTAGCTAGGGTGTGGTGAGCTGACCTCAGTCTATTGTGTGAGTGGTTTTCACTTTTGTTTTTAGATTATTTTATACTTCTGGTCTCCCCTGGTTTCTTTCGGAGTACAATCTAAGGAAAGTATATTTGTTTTCCAAACACTATGGTTTGATCAGATTTTTAAATGACATAGGATTACACCCTCCTTCAAATAGCATGGTTAAAAGTCTGTCAGTATTTCCATTAAAAATTCAAACTTTCCGGGATTTATTACTTAGCCATAACAAATTCCTCCAGGCAGAAACTTGGCAAATCATTCCCTAGTGTGGGAGGAAATTTTTTTCAACAATTTAAAAAAGATAAAAATAAATAAATGTTTACCACTTCAACTTACCCATGTGAAGACAGGGAAGACAGCTCAAATACACATTATAACTTCACAGTTTGTTTGTTTCACAAATCCAGATGCTAATATTAACTTGTAAGTCAAACCTTGCTCAAGGGTTATACAATTGCCCTCCTGCCTCCCAAATTTTTGATGATTCCAGCATTCGATTATCATGTTTGGAACTCTGCTTGATATGATTCTGAAAGGAGCTGCATCAATAAAATGTGAGTATGTTTCACCATGGTAAAAAATGAGCCTTTTCCAAAAGGTAAGATTTATTTTGCTCTGAACTCCTTGCAGACTGAGATATCTTAATCATTTTTATATTCTCAGGGTCTATTTATTATAGAGGTAACATAAGTAGCTGCTGATGAAGGATAAACATATGAAAAGCAACATGAGAATTAAGACATAGTTTCTATCCTTTATTTATATACTCACTTATGAAACATCCACTATATAGTAACTTTGAAAACTTTTTTTGTTTGTTTTTTGGCAGTACTGGACTTTGAACTCAAGGCCTTGTAGGCAAGCACTCTACTACTTGAGTCATGCCCTTTTTGCTTTAGTTTGTTTTCAGATGAAGTCTCACTCTTTTGTCCAGGGCTGGCCTCCAACCTTGATCCTCCTATCTCTGCCTCCCAAATAGCTGTGATTACTGAAAACCTTTTAAGACTAAAAGGAACAAAACATGCTACTGAATCTTTAACCTGCACAATTTACAAACACCTCAAAGGATTATTGGAATAATTAAATAAGTCAGTGTTAGCTGGGTCCATAAATTTTTTTTTTTGAGGCTTGGCTTTTACCATGTATCTTATCCACCTAAAGGGCATTTTTTGAGGCTGAAATACGGAAGAGCTGTGAAAAGTGTGAAATGGTACAGAAACATGATTGAGATGTAAATCCTTACCACTGCAAGCATTAAGAACAAATCCCTAAAATTATTAGAAAAGTAAGATGAAAGTACACATATTTTAATCAAAGTGTTTAACTCCAAATGGAATTAATTTACCTAATGTTGGATGAACTGACTCCCTTTTTAGTAAACAGAAGTTAGTCATAGAACTGTCTTACTCTATATAATGTTATCTTTATTTTTAACTAGAGAAAAGCTAAGACATCTTTCCAAGCTTTTGAACTTTTGAAGTCCACTTTCTTTTAAAAATTTAAGCCTGAAACTCAAAAGAAGTATATTGTTATATTTTATTTAACCTACAATCTGTTCAATTATTTAGCTGCTATAACCTGGTAAGCTCTTTGTGTTTGCTTGTTTGTTTTGTTTTGCTTTGCTTTCTTTTGAACTACATAGCACACTACTCCCAATGAAAACACATACTACAATTTTAAAATCTGTCACAATTTGTAGGGCCCTGTACATGGGCTACATCAAGCACTCTTGTGCTCCCTCTGCTGCCTTGAAGAAAACACTCATGTTCAAGACCCCACTACACTCCTCAGCAGAGTTTCTCTTTTGGCAACAACAATGTAGATTTGTGCATGAATCAGAGCTCTTCTGAAAGACAGCACTGTTTCTTCAGAGCATATACAGTCATCTGCCTAGCAGGAGGACTGGTTTCAGGATGGCTCTTGGAAACCAAAATCTTAGGATACTCAATAATCTTATACAAAATGATGTCATATTTGCATGTAACCTATGCACATCCTTCTGTACATTTTAAGTCATTTCTAGAATACTCATAATACCTAATGTGATGTAACTCTTACATAAATAATTGTTATACTGTCTTGTTTAGGAAATAAAGACAAGGAAAAAAGTGTGCACATGTTAAGTACAGATAAATTTTTTAAAAATCTCTTACATCTTAGGATGCAGAGGTCCAACTGTAATGTGTTATCTTTTCACTGAGTTTAAAATGATAAAAAGAATTGATGAATAAAAAAAGGAGTTAATAGGAGAGTTAAGTTCGTGGCCCAGTGCATCCAGGCAAAGCCTTATAGTATAGACCAATGTTCTTTAGCTGTGGTGTAGTAAGGAATCAGCAGGAACTAGTTTAAAGGTAGATTGTGATTTCGTAAGTCTGAGGTGGAACCACGGATTGACAAAGTCTAAAATCTCCCTGATGGTGGGGGCGGTGGTGCTGTGGCTACTGCAACTCTGTGGATTCCACAGTTAGATCATATGATCTAATTCATACTCGCTGGATCATTTTAAGTCTTCTAAACAGCAAAGTAGTTATAAGGGATTACAATTTTTTCCACGTTGTTTAAACAATCCAAAATCACAGGCTAGGAGGAAGGCTCAGCAGGCTTTATTCCTCAGTTTCCTTTCATTTTAAAGCTTTGTGTATGCTTGTATGAATGCAATATCAGGTTTACAAGTAGGACTGCCATGCTACAAAATTGCCTCCTGGCTTCTCGGAAGCCAGGAAGCTTTTGCCACTGAGTTCTCATTTACACGGGAAGCCTTGTTTTTAAAAGACCAGCGCCTATTACTTGGGATTTTGTCATCTGAAAACAAAATATTTCAGTACGAAAGGTAATGAAACTGTGTCATGAGTATTGTATTTATACTCGGCCTTGCAGCAAAAAAATAGTTGCAGATTTTAGTGACAGTTTATGGCTTTAATCTTAATGGCTAAGAAAGTAAACGACACATTTCTTATTGTTTTTACTGTGTGGGTAATCTGCATATTTAGGTTCCTTCAGGGAATATTTAAATTAACTGACTAACTCTAATCTGAATTATGTGTTTTAATATATTTAAGGCTGTTAAAATAACATAAATTAACTGCTTGTGCCACAGTAATAATTACAAAATTAGCTTTTTTTCCCGTGAAAATTCTCTAAAATGTAAGAACTCTAAAAATAGAGTGGAGGTGGATTGGACAGTTTGCAGATTATGAGTTGGAATAAAAACATCTCAGTTAAGCCAAAAACATGGCAACCAATATTTTCTGTTATAAAAATATTTTAGATGAATTTATTTTTTTTTGGGAAAGCTGTCTGAAACCGAAGTGAATAGCAGAAGCTCTCTGTTTATTCACAGGCCAGCAGTAGCAATACCTGCTGCACAAAATATTCATATTTTGTATGCACAAGCCAACAAGCCTGCACTTCTGTTAGAAGTCAGCTTTGCCAAGTGACGGGTAAAGATATTACCCGGTGATGCTCTGAACTATTAACCTTCACCTTCATAAAGCTCGGCAAGGAAAACACAAGGCAGAGCCTCTATACAGGAAATTGACATTAACTGTCCACTAGAGGCTGTAATGAGACCACATGTCACTTTAGCACAACCCGAGGTTTAAAGCTAACAATCACAGATTTTTGAAATGAAAAGAAAAAGGGGGAAAAGTTGTAGAAACAAGTGACAGTGAGCAGTAGTATTCTATTTAAGTAGCCATGTAGCTGTGCACAGCATTTCAAAATGTGAGAAAAAAATATTCCGGGTCCTCTACACCTTCCTCCTTCGTGTGCTTATTTTTATTTCTGGCGCTACAATAGAGTTGGTTAAAAGCTGACACATTTCTTGGTGATTCTGTATTCCTGCTTCCGTTGGTGACTAACCGTTAGGTCATAAGTAAACTGAGCCAAAAGGTCTCTCAAATACAGCTTACGGTCAATAGCGGTGCCTTCCAGAGAAAAACGGAGGGATCGGGTTTCTAGACACTTAGTTCTAAGCACCTGAATACTGCCCCGACACCGACTGGTGTTTGAGAATTACCCGCAGCAAAGAGAACGCCGCATCGAGCGACCCTAGAAGGGATGTGCCGGCCCTTCTTCCAGCTGCCACACCTGTTGGCAAGATGCAACCTTCCAAAGAAGATTCCTTCGCAAGGCGCTCACACCTGGCGGTGGTACGAGCGGAGCGGGCGGGGAGCTGAGCAGAGGAGGACCAGCCATGGACATCAGAGGAAGTTCTTTCGGCGTGGATTCCCGAGAACTGCAGTTTAATGCTCGGTTTACGTTCTCTGTCTCCTACACCGGTTACCTCACTTCCGATTAGATTAATGATCCCGAATTAGCTTCGTGAGGAGTGCGCGGGTCGTCTGTCAAGGCTACAGCTGAGTAGTTCAATGGCCACAGTAGATTTCCGGACCTGCAGAAACAGAAAAGAGGGCCGGGAGGTCGCCAGCTTTCACAGGCAGGAAAGGTGAGGATGTATGTGTAATATGGGGAGGGGGACCCTTAAAACTTTGCCGAATTGCACGAAAAGGCAATTCCCGCGGCCCCAGGACGTGGCTGAAGCTATACGGGTTTGAGGGTTAACGTACATTTGATAGTGAGAGTGAATCTTCTTTGACGCTTCTCCACGAGCCAGGAACCAGGGACACGTTGAGATTAGAATTAGCCCGGCTTCCCCTCCCCTTAGGGTATTTCTCTGGTTCCAAGCTGAAGCCCGGCACCCTTAGGGAGTCCCCCAGGTTGCCTGAGTTTGTACCCCGCTATCGCTCTGTCCCCTCCATCTAGGTGCAGCGAGCCGGAGAGGCGCGCAAGCAACGATGGTCACCACTCAAATTACCTCATCGCCCCAACTCCCCGCCCCTTTCTCAAACCTGGAAGGAACCGTCCCCTCTGGCCCGTGTCTCCCCTCCCGCTCCGCGATCCCGAGCCACTTCTCCCGCAGAGGCGCCGGCCTCCCCAGGGGGCCGCTCCCCGGGGCCGCGCGCACCAAGGGTTAAGGGCGCGGGCCGGCCGTGCGCTCGCCGTGCTCTGCGCGGCTCGCCGGGCCGCCTGCCAAAGGGTGCCCCCCCCCCCCCATGAAGTCGGATCCTTGAGCTGCGGCGGCGGCAGCCAACTGCTCCATATTTGGCTTCTATTACACATTTACATACTGGAGCGAGCGAGCGAGCGAGCGCGAGAGAACGAGGGAGGGAGGGCGGGCGAAGGGAGGGGAGGGGAGCGGGAGGAGGGGGAGGAGGAGGAGGAGGAGAGAGCAGAGTATACCGCAGACATCATTTCTACTACAGTGGCGGAGCCGTACAGGACCTGTTTCACTGCAGGGGGATCCAAAACAAGCCCCGTGGAGCATCAGCCAGAGCAACAGCAGCCGCAAGACATTGTTTCTCTCTCTCTGTCCCCCCTTCCCCACGCAACCCCAGATCCATTTACACTTTACAGTAAGTGGCTATTTTTTTTCCTCCTCTGATTCTTTCTCTCCCCCTCCCCCATCCTCTTCTCCCCTTATTTAGATTAAAATCAACCCCCCCCAACACCACCACCCCACTCTCCCGAGAGGGGTAAAAGCAACAACCAGCAAACAAACCCCCAATCCCAATCGGCTGCAAGGAAAACAGCTGGAAGAAGGAGCGAAGGAAATCGCCGCGTCGTGTGTGTGTGTGTGTGTGTGTGTGTGTGTGTGTGTGTGTGTGTGTACATACAATCGTCCCCTGATTCAGCTCCCGGGCCCATACCCTACTCTGGACACAGGAGCTGCCGGCAGGGGGGCCGCCAGGGGCAGGGTGGGCGCCCTCCCGGCGAGGGGGCGCGCCCGGGCGGGGGCAGCGGGCGGGGAGAGCGCCGGCGGCGCCCCGCTCCGGCGGCTGCTGGTCCGGCCGCTAGCGCTGAGAGTTCTGTCCTCCTCCCTCCGGGTGGCGCAGGGGGAGGTGGCGGCGGCCGAGGGTCGCGCTGCCCCCTTCCCCGCTTGCCATTCCCCCTCCCCGGAGGCGGTGGTGAGAGTGACTGGGGCTCAGGGAGGACTGGACTTCGCTGCGGGTGGTCGCCTGGCTTTGGCGCCCCGGGGCTGGGGTCTTCCCGGCAAAGGCCGGCCTCGCCGGTTGTGCAGCTGCCGGCCGGGAGGGGACCGCGCGGGCCATCGGCCGAGACTTTGCGTGCGGTGGCCGGGTGCTGGGCAGGGGCCGCCGAGGGGTGGCCGCCCAGGGGGAAGGGGCGTGCGGGTGCCTGGAGCGCGGTAGGAGTGGCGGTGGCGGCCCTGGCTGCCGCCGCCACCGCCGCCCTGTTGGTGCGGCCGCTTCCTGATCATGTGCAGCCGCCGCCGCCGCCGCCGCCGCCCGGAGCTGGGAGCCCGCGAGCGCCCCAGCCCGGGCCGACGCCCCCGCCAGCACCCGGCAGAAGCAGAGGAGTCGCGGCAGGCGCTGCCCTGTGCCGGGAGTGAACGGCTGCGCGGCGGCTGGGAGGGTGAATGAAGCCAGGAGGAGGGGAAGGAGGAGGAGGCGGCGGCGGCGGAGGAGGAGGAGGAGGCGCTGCGGGGATTGGGATGCGCCCTGGAGCCCCGCTGCTCGCTCACTCCGGGCCGGCCGGAGACTCTGCCACTCCCGTGGCCGCGGTCGCCGCCGCCTCCTTCGTGGTTCCAGTAGGGCGCGCAGGCCGGTCCCGCAGGGGGCAGGGAAGGGGGCCGGCCGGGCGGAGCAGAGGTGAGGCCGTGTCGGAGCGCGGTGACAGTGTGAGTGAGTGCGTGCGTGCGTGTGTGTGTGTATGTGTGTGCGTGTGCGCGCGCCAGGCAGGGGGCGAGGGCCATCTCGTTGGGGAGGGGGCCCTTCGTGGCCACTTGGCCCACTCTGCAGCGCCTCGACCTCTCCTTAGCTCCCCGCCCTCGGGGCCGCCTTCTTAAACTCCTTGGCTTGTGCTTTCATTTTATTTCAGACCACGTAGGGGGCTGACTGGAAGCTATGAAACAATTCAGGTTTTCTAGGGAGATTGAGCAAGAACCTTAGCGGGGGGTGGAAGTAGGGTGGCGATCAAGACTCTGCCAGAAAACAAAACAGAAAATCAGTTTCTAAGACGGTGGGGTTCTGTTCGATCCCGTGGCTGCTCTGTTTTGTTTTGCTTTCCTGGTATATAATCCTACAGATAAGAGGGTAATATAAATACTTGGGAAGATTGAGAAATTGCTGAAGAGTAGTAAGGGCGGAAAAAAAAAAAAGCCAGTCGGAAGCTGGTTATATAATGCGAGATGTGGCTAACAAGAACGGCAAGCTATTTTTATTTTGTTTACCGTATGTTGTGCAGTAGGGACTCCTCTAAACTGATTCTGTCCTCAAAGAGATTCTTAGCTTCCCTGTGAAATCCACAGGATACAATTAGCAAAATTGGAAGACCCTATTACACCCACAGAATAAAAACTAATGCCTTAGAGTGGCATTCTCCGTGCACATCCTGTCGTGCATGCACTGGAATGTGTGTATGCAAATAAGTTCTCCTTTGGCAATCTAGTAGTCACATCTCAATGACATTTGTGTTTTATAATGCAAGCCGTTCTTAATATTTAAACATCATCCTTATATATGGCACACAGCAGTAGGTAGTTATTTTTAGGCACAGCTAGTTACTTTTTCAATAGTACTGGCTAAGTCTGCTCTGTTTGCGTTTCTAAAGAGCCTCTCAGATCCTAGAAGCCCCTGTTAAGCCCACCTCTGGTTTATTGGGGATGAGGTGGAAAGGTAGCTTGATAACTGAGCTTTTTGGGAATGAAGCTTATGCCTGCGGAAGCCACTAGAGAGAAGAGAAAATCCTGTCCATGAACTCCTGGAAAGGGATTGCACCATAATGGCTTATTCTATGGCATTTAATCTCCTCTGATTGTCCTCTAACGGTGCATGCATCAGTCAATATTTTAGCAGCTCTGCAAGTAAACGGTCTTGAATGCCACCTTCCACATGAAGTAGAGGTTGAAGGGCTCCCCTGAATCTCCTGCCTGCCTGTCTTTCTCATCATGCAGATACCATGTCAGTGGTGTAGGTTTTCCCTGCACTTATTTCAGCCCTGATCACTCATGTAATTAGATCAGGCTGCCATGGCAACAGACAGTGTTCCTCGTCCATTCAGGTGGGTTTGCCTGAACTACTCCAAGTGTTTTATGCAGTGTTTGTGCTGCCCAAGCCAGACGAGAGACTTCACTATTTCAATTGCATCTCCTTTCAGTCATTTGGACAGGAAACACTGTATGAGTCTTCTGGCTACTCAACTTTTCTAATGGAGACCAACAGCTGTTCTTATTGGGTACAGTATGTAAATGTATCTCCTCAGACAGTGAAAGGGGCCTGACAATCCTGCTGGTGTTTATTGTGAATAGATCAACAAGTATTTGGTACTTGCTAGAAACCTTTCAGAGCTTACTAAGGCAACATTTCTTTTGCAGTCTGGTGTCTTTGGCCTTGCAGTCATTTAACTCTTTCAAGTGTGCAGAATACCCATCATTTGCAAGATAGCAATGGCTTGCTTTCTAAATGGTTTACTCAGAGGAAATAACTTACCTGAAAAGTATCTCCTTATTATCACATTTTAAAACTATACAACTGTTATTTTAAAAACTGGTACTGGTAGTACACAGACATTCTGAATGTCTTCATTCTTAATTTGGATCTGTTGGTGCTGATCTTTAATGATCTTTAGTAGTAATTTTAAATGTTTATTTTTCTCAATTAAGTGAGAGATGAGACAAGCCTGTAGCTAGTAGACTGATAACGCATGGTGCCTTTGCACAGTAAACAGCTCATACTCTATTTTAGGATATAATTTGATGAGCATTTAGAGAACAATATTCTAATGTTTGCATTAGGGCACCACATTACGAAGCCTGCAAAGCCCAGGGAAATAATATTATGGTAAAAGCCAAGAAATCAGAAAAGTAGCTTTAGTTGCTAAAGCTGTGTGCTGCTCTGGCAGTCCAAATGAAGTACAGTATTTTAATAACCTTGATATTTGAAAGAAATAATTGATAATCATAATGTCATGATTTAGTTGTGACCCTGCCAATCAGTTTACAGTTTTATAGCCAAGCAGCTTAATGGGTAAAACCCTGGTGCCCCAGGGCCATGATTGAGAGAGCTACTCAGTTCTTTTCACAGGGGGCTTATGAGTTTCTACTGGTTAGTGAGTTTGTGTGTTGCTAAATTCATCTTGGTCTGGTCAAGTGAAGCGTTGCTGTGGTTAAAATGAGCTATTATTTCTGGGAGGTAAATTCACAAGAAGCAAGGTTATAAAATAAAACACAGAAGTTTATAAATTTTACACAATGCCTTGGAGGTCCTAGATTACATTTTGCAACATATAGAAAATTGCTTTACTTGCACTAAAATGTGCGTACATATTTTTCAGTGTACAAATAAATCTATGCTAAAATAAGTATGAAAAATGTCTGTAAGTGATTCGGGACTGGAAAAGACAGCATTTTTCTCTCTAGATTTCGTTTTAAGAGGGCTTGGTAAACAGTGGTACTTTGTTAGAAATATTATAGCTAGGCTTCAGGCCTTTAAATTACCTTCTAGAGAAAGAATAAAGAAAAACTCTTGAGCCATCAGGTTATGTCAAATGCCTGAAGATGGTCAAAAGTTTCAACATACCTTATTCAGTTGCCGGGAAGTCCTGGGAAAGGCCAGCGATAAGAGATTATTACAGTGTTAGTAAACATTTCTATAGCTCCTGTTTCTCTACTCATTCTAGAGTTCAAGGACTCACATTCCTTTTGTGTAATGCTGTGCCTTTATTTTATCTTCCGCCACAAAATGTCAAGTGGATTTTGCTCCTGCTCATACCTTGAATGACAGTTCCTGATGACTAACAGACTGTAGCAATTCATTGTTTCCTATTAGAAGTTAGTCAATAAACGTGTTTCACTGATCCCTGAAACTCATGTAAATAGGTGAATGCAGGCGTGAATGTTAATTTCTCTAACTGTACTTATCTGAAGGTAGCACACAGTTTAGGCTCTGAAAAGCTTTAATACTTACATAGGCAAATTTGACAGAGTGAAGCAAACAGACTCTCATTTTTAGGGGAAGATAGATTAACTTCACATTCCTTTACATTTTCAGAGTAGTGCAGTAGTTCGAATAGCTTCTACGAAAGATTTAGATCTGAGCGGTTTAATTGCTTCAAAGAACAGATTTACTTCCAGTCATATTTCCAAGGTTATTAGAAGCAGGCTTGCCTTTTTGTTGTTGTTAAATGCATTGAAACCAATAAATTGTATAAATGCCAATAGAGGTAATAATTTTCGTGTCTAGGGCTTACATATAGCACTTCTTTTGCTTTTGTTTAAAATAGGAATTTTTGAGTCATCAATTGTACTGTTCGTATTTTTGTTTCATTTAATATCGTTTAGTAAAATAAATTTACTCATTCAAGTTTTCTTTAGGAAGTAGTAAGATGATGAGTTATTTAGGGTGCTAATGTTACAAAAATTTTTAAATGTTGGCTAAAAAAGCAGTAATTGAATTGATGTTTTAAATATATATATATATAGAACTTAAAATTATAGGATGAATAAAATAATATTATATTGGGTAATTTTTGTGAAAACATTGCTTTGATTTTTTTCTAATTTCATGGTTATATTTATGTATTTTAACTATAAGTGTAGTGAAATATTTTATAACTCTCATAAATCTGAAACTTTCAGACTAATGTGTTATAAATATTTCTACTACATATAACATATGTACTGAAACATGTTTAGAACTATGACAGACAAAAAATTACCAAGCATTACGTTTTGTTTGGCATCTTTGATGTTAGCAGAAATGTCTCATTGATTTTGCTATAACTTTTAATGCATCCCATTTGTGGAGTAATGAAAATGCAATGATAAATGCCATAATGTT